GTGGACGAAACGAAACTAGTATGTAAGGATAGTAGCAAGTGGAAAGAAGTGGTCTCTGCCTACCCCTACGGGAAAGAGGCGTGATTATATGTATTATATGAATATATTTTTTTAATAACTGGCGTCACGGCTCTAGGTTCTAGCCCTTCTGAGCCTCAAGTTACAATTTATAACTATCCTTCATAGTACACTGCTTCACAATATGTTGATGCGTCACATTGTGCAGGCTTTGGGAGATTATGACGGCAACTTGAGCAAGCAAACAGCTGACAGTTGGCAATGGTATCTCAAGGCACCTAAGCAGACAGAATTATTTTGAGAATCATATCACTATCAGCGCACTTGTTTCACAATTTCCACTAATACATAGTTCACATGCGCAGACACGTAATACACAAAATGCACCAGTTTTACATATCAAAGTCCACTTCAAACCATTATTTAAACAATAATACAGGAGCAGCAAATCGCCTCCGGTCAAGTTCCCGCCATAACTCACGTCAACATTCTAGAACGTCATCCAAAGAGTATCATCGTCATCATTACAGACCTTCACAATTCCACTGCTGAACATAGGTCTTCCCCAAGGAATGCCACAAAGCACGGTCCTATTAATACTACTCTCTGGCGAGGTGCTGAGCCACCTGCATCCATCGACTTCATGCATATCTCATAAAGAGTATCTTTACGTTTAACGCGATCGCGCTCTTGTTTGACCTACATGCCTTTACCTAAGATTTCTCTTTATTGAAGTTATACATCTTTTGGGGCGTTTGGGAAAAATGATTAGAGTGAATTTTTTCGATGAGCATGAACACCGATGCCTAAAAACGACACCATGAAGTTGTTACGATGCGCGCGCACTGGGTTTGCTTCTAAAGTCTCTAAACTTTTTTTTATTTTGTTACGCTAACGAAGTATAACTTTATACTACACACACATTTTTTTTCTATTAAACCTTCTACAAGGTTGTTATTAACTTCCTTCTGCGTAGCATTGAAAGGAAGTTAATGGTTTTAGCTGGCAGTCTGTTAGTCTGTATGCCGACACGATAACTTCCGTTCCACTGGACCGATTGACTTTAAATTTGGTATGTGGATACCTAGAGGTAGTAGCTCGGTCGAGTTTGAATTTGGGTCCTGTAGGTCAAAGGGCACCAGAGATATGGGATTCACGCAGAAGGAAGTTGTTTTTCTTGAATTTACATTCAACTCGTTGTTCTGTAATCTGGACAATATTTCCTATTTGTTTTTAAAACATTTATGTAATTTGACATAGAGCAACGCGGGTAGGAGGTAGGAGTGGTCGTAACAAAACTTAAACAATTATTGAAACTATCTATTCTTACAATAGCGGGTAGCGGGTTATTGCAGTCCAACGAAATTATCTATTACAGTAGACGTTTTACTCGATAACATGATATTACGATCGAGCCACCAGAACGAAATGTAATAAATCGTTTATTCGGTTCGGCTATATTCACGATCCATCGGCAACAGCTTCGGCTGTTGAAGTACCACCGGCCATCGAATGTCGAGTGAGCGCGGGTGACACATTTTGTCTCTTTCACACCCACCTATGCATACATTGCTTTTGCATTTCACTTATGACTATTACCTTCGGATAAACGTAATATTAGGAATGCGAAAATAAGTGTGTATGTTTTTAAATTTAACAGTGGTAGAGCCACGCGGCAGCTTTTGCTGTCGCATGGATGGGCCGGCTCGAACCGGGGTAGTACCACGACCTCACAGAAAACCAGCGTGAAGTAGAGGTTTACCTCTGCGTTTCGCTTGGTGAGTGCAGGTGGCTGGAGGCCCTTTTTACTGGAAATGAGGCATTCCATCTTAGTCCTCACGGGTGACAACGCATCTACATTGTGATTTGTAACAGAGGATAGATGTAGATGTCTATGGGCCGCAGCAACCACTTACCATCAGGTGGACTGTGTGCTCGTTTGTCACCCTTATCATATAAAAAAAAAATATTTTCGAATTACGTGGCCTTGACCCAATCTAAATTCGTCTCGTGTTTGATGACACGGTTTGTTTTTAGGCGCGATAGCTAATATAGTAGATTTTGTTCTGTGCAACAATAATATTTGTTGTAAGATAAGAAGAAAATAAAATTGTATATAAGTATTATTATTTTATTGAAAATTTTACTTAAGTATTAATTGTTACTTAATTATTTAACTTTGTGTGTGTGTTTGTCTATACACGGGATGATACTACCCCGCGTCGTAAACAATAATACAAGATGAGGATGGGGCAGCAGCACTTTCCTGTTGAAAACTTAAAATAATAAAAGACTGCGGTGGCCAACCAGTATAACGCATGTTTTCACGCAGACGTGGCAGCTATGGCAAAAGTCATCCTACGAGAATATTAAGGGAAGGCCTTTTTTAGGTGACTTACTCATGGTTAGGTGACTTAATCATGTTACCTAATAGTTAAGGTGGTAAAATGTTTTAGTTAATATACGTTGTAAAGCATCAACAAATGGGTTGTTTTTGTAATATGTTAGTATATAAAATAAAAACGAATATTTTATAATATTCTATTTTAATTTACCATGCAGTGTAAGATTATCTGCTACCTCATATCATTCCATGGGTGGTGCATGAGGCCAGTAATCAATAGTGCAAACATAAACAAACTGTGAATCAATGTGAAAGTGAATTTTTGATGAATGTATCGTAAAGTTAATACATTGTAACTTTAGGCTCCAGAAGGGCTAGAACCCAGAGCCGTAAAGCCAGTTTAAAAAAATAATGAAATGAAGTACGCGGTATGATAATACGTAGACATGGGCAATGTGTATCACTTAAAAGAAAAGATTGATATGTATCTTTTGATCACTTGGATATGTATCACTCTTATATCTTTATATCCTTATGTATCAGTAGATCAAGCTCGCTTTCACGACAAGCATCGCATTACATTGCGTTGCTCACTCAGCGTGGCTCGATTCGCTCAAGTGGGGCTCCTATCAGTAAGAGTGATAGATAAGTAACTATAGAGCTGTTTGCATTTTTCTTGGTCGTAACATTGTGTATCTTTCTGATATATTTGGCTGCTGTTTCTTTCTAGGTATCTATTTGTTATGATTAAAAAATTAAAGTTTTCTTATTTCTCAGACATGCAGGTTTCCTCACGATGTTTTCCTTCATCGCCGAGCAAGTGGTAAATCAGCACTTAAAATTTCAATTAACAATTTCATTGGTATCGGCGGGGATCGAACCCGGGTTGCTCACGTACTGTGAAACTTACAGCGAGCGCTATTATTGTTATGATTGATAAATATTAATAGGCATTCGAGAAATTAACTTAAATTTTTAGTTTAAAATAATAATTAAATTAATGATTAACGTAAATAACATAGGTAGGGTAGGTATTGTTTGTATTAATTTGTAGAAAATATATATTATATGGTTTCGGTTCCTTGAAAACATGCCTGCTGCGTTGGCTGTCTTTTAGCTACGAGGGGTAGGGTAGGTGTTGTTTGTATTAATTTGTAGAAAATATATATTATATAGTTTCGGCTTCTTGAAAACATGCCTGCTGCGTTGGCTGTCTTTTAGCTACGAGGCGTACAGTGGGGTGTTTACTTTTTAAATGTCTACCTAGGTTACCACAATTTCCAGCGGGTATATTTAGCATGTTCGCACAATAAAGGCATTTTGCTTTTTTTGGTTCTACTTCCTCATAATGATTCCACACTGCGCTTCGTTTTCGTGAACCCATTTTTTTTATTAATAAAACACTAACTGCGCAAAATTATTTACACTTAAAATAAATGACGTACAGACCAAAAAACACTTTAAACTATTTACACTGAATGTCTTATTTACCTACATTTAAATTAAACAGTCACTAAGTGTACTAAAAAACTACTTCAAATATTTTTCTATTCGATGCAATTAACGGAAACAATATTACACCTCAGTTTGGGAACGAGAGTAATATTGTTTCCGTAAACCTTAAGATTGAACTAATGAAGCAAACTGATATCTTTGTTTAATTTTGTAAATCACAAATCTTTTTTCTACTTTTTTATGGATATAAACGACTACTAATTTCGGTTAAAAACCTTTCTTAAAAACGATGATTTTATAACTGAAATTAGTTTGCATTGTTTACTAAAAAATTTATAGGCAAAGTACAAATAGGTACAGTTCAAACCAGTATAATCTTCGATCAACAATACCAACAAAAAAAAATTTGTCTCAGTTCTTTAGTAAACAAATGTAGCTGTATAAGTATATATTCACGCGGACAGCATTTAGCTATGATTTTGTACGTGACCCGTTATCTAGTTGGTATTGTTGATCGAAGAGTATAATACTTAAATGTTAACGTATCGCTTAATGACTTTAAGCCCTATGCACCAGTCATAGAGTTATAAATTTACCTTTTTGTGCCAACGTATTACAGTTTATAATGGTCAAACAACTCACTCTCTCAGTCTTGCTAAAGCGCGACAGAACATTCTAAATAGTGGAGCTGCAAATGAAACGTCTGTACTATGGACTTTCCGAAATTTTCCTGGAATGACCGGCCGTGCCAGGCGAGGTATAATAGAAAGCATTGTGCGCAATGTGCGACACAGATGTTAGAAAAAGTTAAAGATGCCTTGAGTGAATAATTTGTAAAGATACACTGATACAGTGATACATTCGGATGCGAATGGATATAAAGAGTGATTGATGAAAACGGATTGATTCATATCTTTTGTATCTATCTCTCCTGAGTTACCCATCTCTAATAATACGCTTGTAAAAACGATTATAATTTTATTATAATATATATCTTAGATAACTAAGATCAGATTATGAAATAATGAAAATTTATAAATATAATTAGACTTATGGATTACTTTATCAGACTCATTATTTACTAATAAAGTAACGGTGCTTTTACAGTGAAATAAAGCGACAGTTGTTGCATTCTGTGAGGTTATAATTTAGGATAGAAATTATTTTAGTAAACGTTTTTATAATGGATTCAGCACCGGCGCAGGAGGTTACAGAGCTGCTAAGGCAGTGGGAGGAGCAACATACAACCCCTAATTATGACCCTATACCAACACTAACAAGGTGAGCTGTTTATCAATAAATGTCAAAAGTAGCACATCTAAAGATTAGCATGCCCTGCGAATGTTGCCGGTAACGTGGTGTAATATGAGCCTTATTTAAATAAAACTAATTTTACGGATTTTATCGCGTATGTTAACTTATTTTTACATTCCCGACGTTTCAAGCACTTTACAGTACCCATGGTCACGCGGGGGACTGAGATGTATGACGTCCCAATGTCATAGTTAACCACGGCTACCTCCAGATTAAAAATTATTAATTTTTGTTCCGATCTACGCAGTATGAATTTACAGTATCATGAAGTCTTGCAGTTGTATGCTTGGGTTGGGATTTAATTTTATTAATTATGGGATCCCAAGCAGATAGTAGCACCCAGCCATCTTCTCTATCGAAATTAGGATTTTTTTTATTTCAATAGCCTCGCAAATCATCCTTGGAAGGAATCGGTGTTCTTTAGCGAGGATTTGTGGTCTATCAAATCTAATGTAGTGACGGGGGCGATCCTGTACATGTTCACAGACTGCAGACATCCCGGAGCATCTATTCTTCACATCAGCTATGTGTTCTTTAACGCGGGTTTTTATGGATCTTTTAGATTGTCCTATATAAGAGAGACCACATTCACAATCCAGCTTGTACACTCCTGCATCTTGCAGAGGAATATTACACTTGACTGATGGTAAAAACTGACTAATCTTCTTCGGTGGCTTGAAATATGTTTTAATGGAAGCACGCTTCAAGATGTAGCCAATCTTGTTAGTGACACCTCTGACATATGGCAGTACAGCAGGCACTCCGCGCAGATAAGGGAAATGCCACGGTATTCATGGATACGTCAGATTATAATTAGAGCGGAGAATCGTGAGTTCTGGTTTATTGCGTAGGTTAGTCAACGCTTTGAATTCGTCTTTAGGTAGATTCGGTTTTGGCGCTGAACTTCGACGTAACATAGACGAAATGTCTTGACGTATCGCTTCCAAATCCTCCTTTTGCATATTGTTTTTAAATAAACAGTCCTCGACACTACAGATAATTTGTTTGTACGGTAATTTTTTCGGGGTTATAGCAAAATTAAGACGTTTCGATAATACTCTTCTTCTTCTTCCTTTATGGCGGTTACGATGAATTCGCCAATGACATGTTATATGTGAGAAGGTTTAATTGCGACACAAACTCTGCTTAAAAAAGGAAATTGATAATACAAGAAATGGTAACAAACGAATATTATGTGAATGATTTTGGTCAACTTAACTGCTGAATCACCTAAAACAAAAGACAGACAATGTTGTTAGAACAATACAAATGCGTTATTATATGACAAACAAATTATAATTTAATGTTGTTAGAGTTAATAAAATCACATAAAATATATACAAAAGAGGTATTTGTGAAGATTAGAAGGGAGTTAAAGTCTATAGGACGAGGGATGTCAGGGGGCAGATAATCGTAAAGAGATGATGACAATTTGGTGCAGTTAAAAAAAATATGATTAGTGTTTCCCTCATCTAAACCACATTCGCACAGAGAACTATCCCTAATCCTGAGTTTAGCTAGGTGAACATAGGTACAGGCATGTCCAATTCTCAACCGGCAGACAATAGAGGTGGCACGTTTGTTTGCTTTATTAAATATGAAAAACCAAGGTCTTGATGGAATATTATCTTGTATAGCAGCATAGTGCTTGCCTTTTAGTATTTGTGATGATTTCCATATCTCATTCCACGTATTAACAAGCTTTTTCTTAGCAAGTGACAGCAAGTCATGGGAATAAGTAACATTTAGTGGGCTGCCATTTCTAGTAGCCTCTTTGGCACACAAATCTGCTTTATCATTTTCACAAATACCACTATGACTAGGTATCCAGGCTAAACAGACAGAAATCCCTTTAAGATGACACCTATACAGAATGCTTTTTATATCAAGAATTAGGGGAAATTTATATTTACTTTGAAATTGGTTAGCCAAAATAGCAGATAAACAACTCTTAGAATCGCTAAAGATCACTGTCTTGTCTAGGCTATGTGATTCAATATATAGCAGAGCTTCATGGATTGCAATTGTCTCAGCAGTAAAAATGGAACATAATGAAGGGCACTTAAAGCTAAGGATTATTTTAAACCTGGGGATCCAGACAGCTGCACCAGTGCAGCCATCATCAGTATTTTTGGATGCATCTGTATACATGGTCATCCAATCTTTCCAATTTTTCCCTATGGCTTCTTTTAATTTTAAATCTGCTTCAGGGGAACCTTTTCTAATATCTAGGTCAAGGTGAATGTTAGGTTGATATATAATAGCTTTGAAAGGAGTATTAAAGAGTGGACTTGTATTGCATGAGAAAATGGGCCCAGGAATTTGGAGAAATGAGACTAAGCTATTAAATAAATGTGGACAATCTTTATGGAGCCAGTACCTACTTGAAGATAAGAATTCTGAGAGGAGGTGTAACCTGGGAATTAGGGGATGAGAAGAGAGTTGACAGATCTTAAAGAAGAATCTGTCTGAAAGATATTGTCTTCTTATGTTGAGAGGAGGATCTACACACTACCTGAAGGGCATTGATTGGGGAAGATTTCATTGCACCAATTATAATGCGGAGACATTTATACTGTATTTTGTCTAAAGTTTTAAGTGACGATTTATTGCAAGGCTCTAAAAGAAAGCATCCATAATCAAAATGACTACGAATTATAGCATTATATAGTAGTTTTTGTGAAAAAGGATGAGATCCCCACCACACTCCTGAAAGGGAACGAAGAATATTTATATTCTTATCACACTTTTTAGAAATGTATTCAATGTGTTGTGTAAAGGATAATTTATTATCTAGTACCATACCTAAAAATTTTACCTTGTCCCGAATAGGAATAGGTAAGCCATTATATAAAACTGGAATATTAGGGACATTCTTATGGCGAGTAAAAATCACTATACTGCTTTTGGAAACAGAGAGGGATAGACCGTAATCAGTTAACCAGCATTGTAAATATTCCATAGTAGAATTTAACCAGGAATTAGCTGTAGTCAGGTTATCTGTAGAAATGTAAAGGGCTAAATCATCTGCATACTTTAGGACATTACAAAATGAATTGACTGCAAGATCTAAATCGAAAGTGTAGATAGTATAGAGAATAGGACTGAGGACAGCCTTGTGGAAGACCTTTCCAAATATGTCGGGGGGGGAGTAGTGAGTTTTGAAAGTTTATTAAAATAGACCGAGAAGAGAAAAAGTTTGATATATAATTTACTATCTTCACTGGTATACTCAGCTTCAGCATTTTTTGCCTGAGTACAGGAAGAAGTACATTGTCGTATGCAGATGAAATATCGAGAAAGACTCCAACAAGGTATTCATTTTTAGAAAAAGCAATACGGATGTCAGTTACTAGTGTACTGAGGCTATCCATAGTGCTTAAGCTTTTTCGAAAGCCTTCGGTAAAACATCCTTAGTCCTTACTCTCTAAGAACCATTCTAACCGATTTTTTATCAAATGTTCTAGTATCTTTGCCATTGTACACGACAGTGCAATGGGTCTGTAACTTGAAAAGTCTTCACTGGCTTTACCCGGTTTGAGAATAGGAAGTATTATTTGGGTCTTCCATTCTTTGGGAGGAATTTCATTGTCTGCCAGATGTAGGTCTTTAATCTCTCTGACAAAATGGTAGGACTTTGAGGAGAAAGCCCTGCTTACTTCTCCCATAAACCCAAGATTCTACAAGCGGTACGTAGACGACACTTTCACAATTCTACCTTTAGATAAAGTAACTGCATTTTTAAACCATCTTAACTCCTTAAATTCTAAAATTCAGTTCACAATGGAGTTAGAGGCAAACAATTCTTTAGCTTTTTTAGATGTGTTAGTAATTCGGAATCCTGATAACACCTTGAGCCACACTGTGTATAGAAAAAAGACCCATACAGATAGATATTTAAACGGTGATTCTCACCATCATCCTTCACAGTTAGCTACCGTGGGTAAATCTTTGTTTCAGAGAGCATGAGGGATCTGTGACAGTAAACACTTGTGCTCTTGTATGTCCCTTGAGCGGTGAGAGTACATTCGCTAAGTGTTGAGCCAATCTGTAAGTTGGTGAATCGATTTGGCTCACTATAGGACGTAGTGGAGCATTGGGCTTGTGTATTTTTGGTAACCCATACAACATACAACTTCGGTGGTTTAGCACACGTAGGTATTATCGATTTTACGTTTAGATTTAATTTTTCGGAGTGTTTCTTTATGAGATCACTAGTTGTTTTAAGTGTGTTATTTGTTGGGTCATTTTTAACCTTTTTATACGTACTTGCATCTGACAAAAGTTCTTGTATTTTAGAATTATAATCTGACGTATCCATGAATACCGTGGCATTTCCTTTATCTGCGCGGAGAATCGTGAGTTCTGGTTTATTGCGTAGGTTAGTCAACGCTTTGAATTCGTCTTTAGGTAGATTCGGTTTTGGCGCTGAACTTCGACGTAACATAGACGAAATGTCTGACGTATCGCTTCCAAATCCTCCTTTTGCATATTGTTTTTAAATAAACAGTCCTCGACACTACAGATAATTTGTTTGTACGGTAATTTTTTCTTAGTTTTTTTTTTTATGGCTACTTAAAATACATCAACGGTTTCTTTTATCCCAGAGCCACCAAAATGCAATAGCGTAGCTCGTTTCTCGAGTGCTGATATAACTTCAGTTACGTCCAGATAGATTAGTAGAGACCTTTTCCATTTTCCACACCTTATAGCCATAGATGTGCTATCACATTAAAGCTGATAACGGTATCATTATTATTATTATTTTAGGGGCAAACTGAAACAGTTTCTTATATTTTTTTTTTCCAATTTAATGCTGGTATTTTAATACCCAAAGTCTAATTTAATGGTAGTAACTTAGTACCCAAAGTCCAATTTAATAGTAGTAACTTAGTACACAAAGTCCAATTTAATGGTAGTAACTTAGAACCCAAAGTCCAATTTAATGGTGGTACCTACATTAGTAC